TCATATGAAACCGCGGATGAATATCACGCAAGGATTTTGAAAAACGTAATTGTTCGCCTCTTTGCTTTATTTGATTTTCCATGTAACTATCCATAATGGATGCTCTTTTTAGATAATTGTTATTCAAAAGTATTATCGTCGCTGGCTTGCTACGCGCAAAGTTAACGCGTTGAGAAAACAACGTGATCTTGTGTATGCATATGAAGAGGCTCAGCGTAAAAATGCCGAGGCGGAACGTGCTGCACGTTTAGAGTATGAACTTGACCGCCGTTTACATCCGCGAACCAGAGCAGACTTTGACAAACTTTATAACGCTCTAGAAAAATGGCGTATGGAAGAAACTGAAAAAATATATCATACTTATTCACTTTCAGCAGAAAGAAAAGCTGCTCTAGCTCTATTGATGGATCAAGTAGGCTTATGAGTTAATAGTGCTTCTAACTATATATCTGTGTATGATCTCTTGTTTGGTAAACAGTGTTTAGCAATTATATGTTCATTTATCTATTTAAAGCACACTTTTAACTGTATATTATCACTGTTTTTACTTTAAATCGTTGCATTTATTGTAGCATTCTAAATAAAATCCTTTTGGCTAAAATAATTAATACATTAATAAACACATTTAAAATGAATTAATGATAAACTTTAAGGTTTTGTGCAAGCCTAGGTAAAGCCAATATTAAAATTATTTCTTTGTTTAATAAGCAATTAAGATGCTTTAAATTGACTTGCTAAGACTTTTATCGAAGCATCTGGGTGATTGCCATAATGAAATGCTAATTTCATTGACAATAATCTAATCTTATACTATTCTTTAAATATTTACATTTAGGCTCAAAATCCTTTTATTTATTAGAGCATTTAATTATATTCAAATGTGTTAAATTTATTTTAAACAAGATAAAACTTATATTATATATATATATGCCTATTATCAACGTATTAAGTATGTCTTTATATATAACTGAAAAGTTCTAAAACCTGTTTTTTATTAATTTTTTGATAAAATATATTTTTTTACTCAAATTTTCGCAGTAATAATTTTTA